ACTAGTCTGTCAATTAATTACATTTAACTGGTCGCTAAGTAGTGGAAGCGCTTCGTATGACATACCGTTTATGAAATTATTGTCCGACAAATACATTATTATATCTATTGGTAAATATTTATAATAAGAAATTTTATTTAAATTAATAATATAAGTTATTATTATTTATGAAAACATAATAAAGGAATGATAGGGATATCAACGACATCGATGTCTATATTGGAGTCATGTCTACCCCTGTGGTTGATTGAAAATATGAAGCCTACCCCTGAGAAATGGCAATTAGGTTTACAATATGACTTTCTATCATTAAAAGCCTATAATTATTTGTTTTATATTTATACTTAATCTGAAAAATAGGAACAGTATTCATACCGGACAGCATTGGCTACTTAATTGGCACTAATTTTATGATTTCCTATTTCTTCAGTAAAACTGAGCGGTAATTATAATTGAATCCAGCTATTTATAGAATTTTTAAAATTATTTATAAATATACTAGTACAATTATAATATGAAAGTTATTCTGTTTATAACAAAACATTAAATTTGATTTGAAAATAGATGGATAACAGCCATGTCCTCATTGGCATTGGTTGGGTTGAGTGCTATGGCTATNATAAATATACTAGTACAATTATAATATGAAAGTTATTCTGTTTATAACAAAACATTAAATTTGATTTGAAAATAGATGGATAACAGCCATGTCCTCATTGGCATTGGTTGGGTTGAGTGCTATGGCTATACCTTTGGCATCAAATATGAATCACTTAATTGTGCCTCACTTTGGTCTTGGATTAGGAATTGGTATTAATATAAGCTAATTGACAATTATTTAAAAATAACCATGCACACATTTAGGCACAATAGACGCGGCAATTATGCCATTCTTGGCTAATATAGTGGACACTAAGTTCTTCACACTGTATGGCAGTGTTTACGCCATCGCACAGACAGCTGTTTGTTTGGCATATTCTTTGGGGCCCTTAATAAGCGGTCAATTGATTGGCATTGGTTTGGACTTCTCAACCCTAATACGAATCGTGGGTCTCATGAATCTCTTGTATTGTCCTTTTTGTCTCACTTTGAGGAATGTTGTCTCCAATAATAAGGAAAAGGTATTCAATATTTTCTAGTAACTTACTAGTTTATTTGATATATTTGTATAATTCAATTGTACCCTTTTAGATAAGCATTATTGATCAAACTATTCAATCGGATTATTCAACAATTAATGCAAATGTGGGTCAATTTGTGCCATTTATTAATGAAGACTAAATTTATTATGTTAAATGTCTTATTTATTATTAATACTCCTTTCAATCTTATGCTTATTTAATTTTATTTTTCAAATACTGTATAATTAATGATAATAAATGTTTAAAATTGCAACATACAGTAATTACCATTATTAATAAGTTTGATTAAGATTGGTAATTTTATTATATACAATTTTATGAGATTTAATTGTGCTAATAGAGCATACAGTACAACACAAATTGCTTTTGTTGTTTTAAATCACAATCAGTGTTTTATAAAGGCCATTGGTAATTTAATTGATGGATTACATGAATGAATTGTATTGAGACTGACTGACAAACAGGACTTGGAGGTGACTGCAAGTGATGTCACGGAATATAATAATAGATATTAAGCTTACATTGCATTTGTTATTTGACCACAGTTTGACCCAATGTCTCAAATAAGACTTTATTGTGAATTATAGTAATTATTATTAGACTTTATTAAGTTAGTGAACATCTTTGTGTGAATCTGAAGGACATTCACTGATAACATCAAAGCTATGTCTAGAAATGTTAGCTATTTTGAGCATCCAATACACAAAAGCCATCCAACATACCGGTATAAGTTTACCATTGAAAACTTATAATCAGATTATTTAATCACTAGTTGACTAAAAATTTTTGAATAAACAATAAATACAATAAATTAAAATTTATGGCCAATTGTTTTGACTAAATAGACAATAAAAACTTAATATTTAGTAAAAACTATAGAAATAGTTGTAAAGCACTTCCTAAACAGGCATTTGTCTCATACGGTACCCTTAGAGCCGATGATTATCTCTTCAGGTTTTGTCATTATAACAAAAAGTCAAAAAAACATTTTGTTTTAAGTCTTATGTTTAGTCTAATTCTGATTGTTAAACAAAATAAACCATTTTTTCGTTCATATGTTTCACATTTTTTGTTTCGTAGCTATTATGAAAATATGTACAGAAATCTATTAATTAGTATACTATTACTATTAATGAAATTAAGTTATTCATTAAAATTAAAACAAACTACCGATGCGTTCACTGATTGGCGAATTGGTACGAAAACGACTACAAGAGCTAACGGAGCTTTTGCTGAGAGTAAGTGAAAAGACAACTAAACTATAAATTAAAATCAATGTTTCATTTGTAATACTCAGACATCAAATGCAATAAAGACACGGAAGAGGAGTACTTCAACGCAGTGGTGACCCTTCCCACCGGTTTCGGCACTATCCCGGTGTTCAATGAGGCCTCTAATGTGAACCCAAGTGTTTCCGACGAGTGTATCATAAAACAGACAGCGATGGGAAGCAATAAATTTGCGGTTAAAATACTGGATCTCGACTCTTGTGGTGTCCAAACGCAAAAGGCAGCCGACGGTGCCCTCTGGATGTCCGTCTCATTGAGGTTTCCGTTGATTGGATCTCTCAGGACGGCTGACGACGAGATGTAAGTCTAATCTCTTTAATGATTATCAATATTCAATGAAAGATCATATTATTTATGAGTTATTTATGTGTTGTTTAGCATAACTCTTATGTGTCGACCACAGGATAGGGTTATTGTCAGGAATCATGTGTTGGACATCAAAAGTCAAATGTAAGACATTTCAAAGATTAATATAAAGTGCTTTTATTAATACATAATTGTTTCCAAAACTTAATAATAGACAAAACCCATTGAGAACTGTATTCAGTAGTTCTCCACTCGATTTTGACTGCAATTTAGAGGTGTATCTGAAGTCAGATGAAGACAACGCTTTCAGTCGAATGCTTCCCAATGAAGATGTCATAGAAGTCGGACAGGAAGTGCAACTCAGAGCTACTGTTAGATCGGGAGATGGTATGCAATTGACTATAAGATAATGATTATTAACAGAACTGATAACACATTTTCAGGCTGGAAGTATGCGATGATAAAGGACGTGACCGTCCATAAAGTGATTCCTCTATCAAATAGTTTGCAAACATTTTCAACGCTCTCCTCATTGAGACAATCGGCTCTCGACAAAGACTCGACCGAATCGAGTGCTAATAAATTTGGTTCATTTTTCTCCAATTCCCTGAACATACGGAAGGCGTCCACCGCTCAGAGGTTCGGCAAAAGCGGTGAATCCGAGCGCCAGAAGAGAGAGTCGACGGATGAGACGCGAGAGAAGCGACAGATACCGGACGCCGCGTTTCTGGTGCTCAGCGACGGCTGCCGTAATCCCGTGTTTCGCTCGATTGCCGTCAATCACCCGACGCAGGAGTCCAACGATAATCTGTTGGTGTCTTTCAATTTCAAGGCCTTTATGTTTCAGGACATGGATGAGAGCGGAACCATTCGTATCACCGCTAAAGTGATTGCGTGTGTCGAGGAGGAGGACTGTCGACCTGTAAGTCACTACTAGTACTTTGAAGCAATTTTTAAAATCATTTATTTGTTTGTGTGTTGTTTTAGATCCGATGCATAGATGACGAGCACTTCGGTTACGGGAGACGACGAAAGCGGTCACTAAATCACACGGAGTTCACGAATGCCTCTCAAATCAGTGACTATTCGCGGGAACTTCAGCTCAAAGTAGTGATGCCTTCGTTCACATCGGGTATACCCTTATTGCCCTCAACTGTGTTAACATAACGTTTAAATTTTATTTTTATTTTTAAAGCATATGTCAACTCAGATGTGCAGCCAGTGATCAGCAAATGGTTTGGTTTAACCGACAAAAACGATTGCCGTTATGTAATATACTTAATGGGAACACTCGCACTGGTATTTTGTCTCACAATAACTACTGCCTCATCGGTTATTATTACCAGGGCAAAGTTGAAATAATAGTAAATTTACATGATTTATTTATTACAAATAAATGGCTCATTATTTAATTAAAATTTTCATAAGAATCAAAAGTAAATACAAACATTTAAAAAACATAATGATTATGAATGAAATGAAACAAAGTTTATTTTAATTTGCTTAACTATAAAAATATATTTAAATTTAATTAATAAATGTATTATGATTTTTTAAAAACTCTAACTTGTGTAACATTTAATAGTTCAATTTTATTTTAAAAAATTGCTTGATTGGTTTAGACAAATTTAATCCCTGACCTCATCGGCGTCCTTATATCGGGGCTCATTAGCAACAAAAAAGTCATCGAAATAATTGTATAAATATTCAAAGGTTGGCCTTTTATC